AAATTATGTCAGCTGTGAAAGTGCTACATGAGTACAGAGCCCTTACCGAATTGTGAAATCCACATTATCTTAAACGTCCAGAAGGATTTAAGCCTTCTATGAAACCTTTGTGCCATCATCTCTCGATCTCTTAAGAGAGAAGCTCTGCTGGTCTGTTGTAGCTCACAATGTAGATTAAAAAGAAAGCTTTCATGTTGACATTTCATAATCTAATTTGATGCTCTTTTTATCCCCCTTGACTCCACTGATTTCTAGAAATGTTTTCTGTTTAATTTCACTGGCAAACACTTCATAGCTCTTATAGTTCAAATGCCGGAGGCTCAGTAAACTCTCATGCTTCAGGAAATTTCAATACAACAGAGCAGAGATAAGAGTGGTTACAGCTCATGAAACTACTCAAGTGCAATATCTTTGTATATGCTAGAAGGGATTAGTTTATTGGATGCTTGCTTTGACTACACTGATAATAAAGAGACTCTTAGTGTTGGAGTAACAGAACTGCTGCTCATGTTATAGTCCAGCTTTAGAACTTTTCTTCTCATCAAAACTATGGTAAATATATAGCTGCAACCCTGCAACAAATACAGTAAGCTACTGTTTATATTAATGTAACAAATCTTTTAAAAAGTTGGTGTTTTTAGGGTTTTGCACACATTTTGATAATTAATCAATCAAAATAATACAACCACACATTAATGTGCATAAGAGAGATGAACTGTCTATGGCCACATCTATAATTTTTAAAAACACAGACTGCATATAAATGATGGAAGCAGCTTCTAATAGCTTGCAAAGATGCATAGAAAGATCCATGCATTAAGTAATTCTTTTCAGGTATGTTTATTGCCTCAAGAGTTTCAAGTTTTATTAAACAAACCATAAAGAAAAAAATGACTAGCGTAAGCAAAGCTGTTAGATGTGCTTTAGTAATGATGAAATGATGAAACTGTGCATTAAAGTTGCATTAAAGTCGTGTAGTTGTGGCAACTTATGTTCCTTTGCTGATGAAATTCATGTTGATCCTTATTTCTGAGTCGCTGTAAAGTGACTGTCATGTGTTCCTAATTTGTGGGACAGTGCCGGATCTAATTGCACTACTTGAGTATCACGTTTACATGGTACTTAAGTAGTGTACGATCGTGGCTCAAGGTTGCCGGTTCGAGCCACGGCTTGGACAGTCTCGGTCGTTGTGTCCCTGGGCAAGACACTTCATCCATTGCCTACTGGTGGTGGTCAGAGGGCCCGGTGGCGCCAGTGTCCGGCAGCCTCGCCTCTGTCAGTGTGCCCCAGGGTGGCTGTGGCTACAATTGCCATCACCAGTGTGTGAATGTGTGTGTGAATGGGTGGATGACTGGTTGTGTAAAGCGCTTTGGGGTCCTTAGGGACTAGAAAAGCGCTATACAAATACAGGCCATTTTACCATTTCATATCAGAGTGCAGCTGTGATATACCAGCAATATATAGGAAAGTAGTGAGTGATAAAACCAATGCAGCATCTTCCTCTTGCTGCACACAAAGGCGGCATCACATTGTCAGCTAGCTGACACTAACAAGAGAGACGCAACTTGACCTCTTCATGGAGTGTGGCAAAGGAAATCCGGAGCTGATACCGAAAGGCTGGATGTGAAATGACCTGAATCTGACATAAAACTGTCAATCTAAGACAAAGCCAAACAAAGTCTCCCTTGATTTTTTTTTGTTGTGCGCAGTGCCAAGTCAGCTTGAAACTCACAGTTCTGCAGTGCATCCAAAACACAAAAACACACCAACTTCAGCAGATGGATGGCACCGCTGAGTGCTGATACTGCATCAGTGATGCTTGTGACAGATGCACTAATTATTTTTGTGCGTGAAGAAAAACTGACAGATCCTGAAACTGTGAGAATGTATTTAATGGAACACAGATCAGCATTTCTATAAATATTGTGTCATTAAAATATTGTTTAAGGTGTGCTTTGCTGCTGTGATGACCCCCTTTGAAATTAATATGTTCCTGCTGTGGAACACAAAGACACATATAGACATTTCAGAGGCAAGTAAAGCTACTGTTATACAGTACTATTGAAACATTTGGAAAACTGATCAACTACAGATTACATATCTTTTAGAGCTTCCAAACAGCACATGCATTCTTTATCCTGCAGAAGGGCAGATGAGGTAAATGCTTTATATCTGAGATTGGTTGCACTTCAGTGGTTTGTCTGTATTTAAACAAGCTATTTAAGGAATTTAAACAACAATTATCCCAAATTAAACAATAATTTGCCACCTATAATTGCACATTCTCACTCTTTCATAAGTGGTTGAATCTGAGAGTTTACGTCAAACAAGTTCTCAGTCATTTCCTCCGAGAAACACTTATTTTTGGTTTAGTCAAGAAGGCTGCCTGGATACAGAGGACAGGAAGCAGGAAACTAAAAACACCTAATTTGCTGCTTTTAAAAGACTTAAAGGCTTGTGCAAATAAAGTTTCTCATGCTTCTTTATATGTGCTACAGTTACACTGTACGCTAACTAGTCATAAACAAGTGTTTAATTGATCTTCTCCTGGTTAAAAAAAAATTAATCTGGAGTGATGTTGCACTTGCTGCCATTCAGGTCATTGTACTGTTTTATACTTAAGACAAGGAATCTTATAAAAGTGACTTTATCATGCAAATACCATTTGAGGCAACATGAATATTGACCATAGGTGTGAACATGAGTGTGAGTGGGTGTCTCTCTGTGTGGACTGTGACTGAGTGGGTTCCCTCTGGGTAATCTGGATTGCTCCTACAGTCCAAAGGTATGCAGTTTGTGGGTTTAACTGGTTATACTAAAATGCCCACAGATGTGAATGTGAATGTGAATCATTGTCTGCATGAGCCCTGCAGCAGACTGGCAGCCTTTCCTATGCCCTGCTTCAGCCCTGTGGCAGCTGGGGTAGACTCTAGCCCCGCACAACTCTGAGTTGGATAAGCAGAAGAGAATGGATTGATGGATGGATACTCCTGAGGGAGAGATTATTTGGGTGCAATTGGAGTGCTGAAGAGCTATTGTCAGTGCAAGTTATTGAAGCATATGGGTGGTTGGGTGGGGAGGGGGGGGAGCTGTTCCTTAGTCTGTTTGCATGAGTATTGTATTCATCTGTATCATCGGCCTGATGGCAAAAGTTGAAACAAAGGGTAACGGGGGTGTGACGTGTCTGAAATGATGCTGCTTGTCTACTTCCTCAGAAGAGTGGTGTAGACATCTTCCAGTTGTGGGAGCTCGTTTAGTATGCAGTCTTCACCACACGGTGTAGGTCATCCGCTCAGCTGCTTTAGCAGCTTTAGTACCGCGTCATGATCATGTTTGTGAGGATGCTCTCGGTGATGGTTCTGTAGAAATTTAGCACCAGTCCCTGGGGAAGATGTGCTTGAAATACTACACTCGAACAGAAAGAGTCTTGAATGACTGTAGTGAATGATATGGTTTTTATCAGCTTTGTAGGCACTCGATCAAAAAGGAATAAATATTGCTTGTCCGTCAAACAAATAACAGTTTCAGTGGGCTGTAGTCACTACGCAGGTAGCTTCCACTTCCTAGGGAAGAACTGTCCTTGTTGTTTGTTTGTTTTTTGACCAGGTTTGAGGACTGAAAGTCCATGTCAGGTGGCTGGACATGGTAACTCCAACAAATTTTAATCTATGCATACTCTCTGCTGCTTAAGATACTGTTGGGATTTGGGCTGTGTTTATTTTTTATATGACTCTCAAGTCTTGTCATCTTCCATTTAAATAATCAAGAACATGTCTAATAATACAGATTTTAAGCTTTTGTGAGTTTCAGCTAACGATCATCATTGTAGCCTTCCATAAGACTGGGTACTGTAACAGTGTTTGTTTATGGGCAGTAAAGCTATCGGATAGCTAGCTGCAGGTGGACCATAAAAGACACAAAGGTAATGTATTTGTAAGGGCTTTAACAAAGAAAAATGGCGCAT